TTCGGGCACAGCCATTAACATCAGCTCGACACTCGAGGAGTGCCGCGAGAACGTCAACATCCTGCCGCGACTTCGTTGCTGCCATGAGTGCTGTCTGTGTGTCGTAGTAGCCAAGCTCGTTCAGGCCTGTGAGGGTGTGGTTCATGTTGGCACGGCTCCCTGCAAGCAATCTCAAAATGTTGGTGTCGCCCGAGAAGACCGCGCACATGACCTTGGTTGTCTCGAGACACAGAGGTCTGGTTTCAACATGCCGCCTTCCTTGGCCTGTTCATTGTCTCCTTTATTCTCAACTGTGATCAGCAGGAACAGAAAATTAGTTCACGAGCAGCTCCGTAACTGCATTCATGCCAGTGTCATCGTGCACAGCTTCCCTCAAGCTGCCAAATTTGAAGTGTCGCAGGAACGCGTCCATTTCGCTCCACTTCCGCTGCTGACGAAGGAGGTTAGGGCACAGGGCTGCCCAGAAGCGGTAGTGGCTCAAAGGGCCTCTGTCTTGCAAGTGACGTATCTTGCTTTCCACGGCCATCTCTCCAAGTCGGACGACCTCCGTGCGGTCGGCTTCGACGGTGAAATCCCCATCCACGATACCTCTGTTCCAGGTGAATGTGCAGGGTCGGGTTTTCGGGGTTTGGGGTCTAGGGTTTGGGGTTTAGGGTTAAAACTTTAGGCTTCAGGAGGCAGACAAGACAGGTCTTGAAATTCTTGACTGGGACAGTTCTCGAAATGATGGTCGTGCCCTAAATAGAAGGCTCCGCAAAAGGGGCCATGAATCTCGAGAACCACCCACCCCAGGATGCGCAAAGCATGCTTAAGTGCACAAAGCAGGAAGTCCGCTCCTAAACCCTAAACCCTAAACCCGAAACCCTAAACCCTAAACCCAAACCCTAAACCCTAAACCCCCTAAACCCCCTAAACCCTAAACCCTAAACCCTAAACCCTGTAAGCCCTAAACCCTACTCCCATATGGGCACACCGGGGCGCTTCTGCTCTGCCAGTCCAAAGGGAACATAAACTCGGCTTCTGTGGCAGAGTGCACGACAATCACCGAGCTGTCCTAGCATGGCCAATGAAAAACCCTCCGAACAATATTCCTATAGGGTTTAGGGTTTAGGGTTTAGGGTTTAGGGTTTAGGGTTTAGGGTTTAGGGTTTAGGGTTTAGGGTTTAGGGTTTAGGGTTTAGGGTTTAGGGTTTAGGGTTTAGGGCTTAGGGTGGAGCATGACCCTCTTAAACCCACTGAGGGAAAACATTAAGTCTCCCAAAGGCCCAGCTAGTGTCAGACTTGTTTGACAGTAGCCGACACCACAACTCCGCGCGGCACCACCTTGGCGACAGGCAGCAGACCCAAAACACACGGCCCTGGTTTAGGGTTCAGGGTTTAGGGTTTAGGGTTGAGGGTTTAGGGTTTAGGGCTTGGGGTTTAGGGCCCTACACTCCAAAGCCCAAAATGCCTGAACCCTGAAACCCACGAAGCCCCGAAGCACCCAACAGCTCCGTAAAGCCTCACCAAAGTATCCCCTAGAGCGACACAGACGCAAAGAACAAGACAGAAGCCCCAAGAATGACCCTGCAGGGGCTTCGGGTTTCGGTTAAGGGTTAAGGCTTAAGGGTTCAGGGTTTAGGGTTTAGGGTTTAGGGTTTAGGGTTTAGGGTTTAGGGTTTAGGGTTTAGGGTTTAGGGTGTAAGGTTTGGGGTTAGTACAACCTACCCAAGATATCGATATCAATTCAACCACGTTCCTGGAGCAGCCTAACCAACCCTCAACCTTAAACCCCAAAACCCCACAACCCTGAAACCTACACCTCAAAGTCCCTAAACCCTAAACCCTAAACCGTAAACCCTAAACCCTAAACCCTAAACCCTAAACCCCCTAACCCTAACCCCTAAACCCTTAAACCTTCAAGCCCCCCCAGGATATCTGACCAGGACACCCTCTGGACATCCACGTGGCATAATTCCTTAGCACTTGAAGGTTCAGGGCATTGAGGCCTTAAGAGCTCAATTCGGGTTTACGGGGTCGGCGGGCTTAGGGCTTAGGGCTTAGGGCTTAGGGCTTAGGGCTTAGGGCTTAGGGCTTAGGGCTTAGGGCTTAGGGCTTAGGGCTTAGGGCTTAGGGCTTAGGGCTTAGGGTTTAGGGTTTAGGGTTTAGGGTTTAGGGTTTAGGGTTTAGGGTGTAGGGTGTAGGGCTTAGGGTTTAGGGTTTAGGGTTTAGGTTTAGGCTTATAACATGCTTAAGGGGTTTTGGCGTTCCTTCGTCAGCATTTTCAGGGTTGAACTGGCTGCAGTAAGACGTTTTGAGACCCTAAACCCTAACCCCAAACCACCATCAGAGAAGTTTTTGGCATAGCGCTCAGAACATGAACCCCCAACCCTAAACCCCAAACCCTAAACCCAAACCCTAAAAGCTCAAAGCGTTGCCATTGGGCCCCAAAGAATCACACGCTGCGCCGAGTCTTTGTGGGTCAGCTCCGGAACTAGCGCCAGGAAAAGATCGCAGAGCTCTACCTTGTTTTGGGGCTTAGGTTTTAGGCTTTAGGGTTTAGTGTTTACGGTTTAGGGTTTCTTGTTTTGGGGTTCGGGGGGTATAGGAGTCCTTTCTCTACATTCGGGCCCCTTTTGGGGTACGATGTATGGGTCAATTAGGGGTGAACGGTCAATGGCAATCGGGTTTAGGGTTTAGGGCTTAGGGGTTTTAAGGTTCAGGAAGGTCCCGGAGAGGGACAGGAGAACCGGAGCAGGGGTGAGGAAGATCCAAGCATTTCTGGTGCATTTTCAGGGCGCATATGCTGGAATGCTTTGCACCGCCAACGCTGCATCTGTCTTCGTGGTATCCTCATTGACTCCGTGCGTGCGCGCCGTGATCTGTGGGATCGCGAACCAGTCGAAGAACAGGAAAGCATCGGCGATCTGCTTCCGCTCGCTAGATGACAGGCTTTTCTCGTCGGAGGAGCGAGACACGATGTCTTCCGTGATCTGCACAGTCCCGTCAATCACACCAGCAAGCGCCTTCTGAAGAACCCTCATCTGTTCGCCCTGAGGGTCTGGATGCACGGAGCTAAGCCACTGGTGCGAGACGAAGATCACGAACATGCCCGGGTAATATTGGTGCAGCACGCCCTTCTCCTGCAGCACGTTGTGGGGCTCCGGCGCGCCACGCATCTGCATGAAATCGGACACCTGCACCACCGATCAACCCTGAGGTGAGTCATGACCACCCACAAACCCTACACTTCTTCGACGCGGGGATGGGATATTCAACCCTGCACAATCTCGACCCTGCTGCAATCCTACTTTGGAAGGGGCTTCATCGCTGCATGACGTGATCGGGAAGCCAAAGAAGAAAAGCTAAAAGCTCGGGTGCTCGGGTTTTTATCTGCTATTCCCTCAAGAACCCCAAAAAACCTAAACGACAACAATCCCTATAGTACCCTTGTAAGGAAGAATATTTCATTTTATTGTTGTGTCATCCTTTTCTTTTTTTTTTTTTTGGGGGGGGGGGGGGGGGGGGCCTTCTTCAGCAAATATCCCCCAAAATAAGGGCTTGACAATCCCAAGGGAGTATGGCCCCCTTAAGTCTCCCTCCCTTCCACCCTTTTGGTTCCTTATGACATTTAGTGTTTAAGTGTTTAGGGTTTCGAGTGGCAAGCCGATCCTTGACGGCCCACAAGGGGAAGAGGCAGGCGTGCACAGCGGACTCTGCATGACCTTTCCGCTCGTCATCCGGCTGGCACAGGGAGGCTCCCATGGCGCTACGGTTTCCGGAGAGCTGCGCTTTTGAGGGATGATTAGATTCGGCATTTTAGGGTTTAGGGTTTAGGTTTTAGGGTTTAGGGTTTAGGGTTTAGGGTTTAGGGTTTAGGGTTTAGGGTTTAGGGTTTAGGGTTTAGGGGGAGGGGGGGGGGGGGGGGGGGGGGGAAGGAGATCAGGCAACAGTGTATCTAAAGGCAAATTTGTATTTCTGGTGTGTGCTTCTATGTAGCTGATAAGTGTAAGTACATCTAAACGCATATTGAGAGCTACATTTAACTTTTAGTTACCCGTACCTTTCCATTTATATATGTCTACAATCAGTCTATATATGCTTCTACATTGAAATCTATTCGGTTATACACATCGAAATAATTCAATCAACATATATATATATATATACACACACATAAATAGATGACTACTTATATGCGTACATACATATGTAGACATACACATACACATACACATATACATACACATACGCATACACATATACATATGTATATACATATACATATGCATATACAAAAACATATACATATACATACACATATACATGCACATGTACATATACATATACATATACATGCACATGTCCATGTACATGTACATATACATATACATATGCACAGGCATAAGCATATACATGTGCCATAGGCATAGTCTTATGCATATACACATACATTCTATATATATATATACTTATTTATACACATATATATATATATATATATATGCATATGTATATGTATACCGTATATGTATATGTATATGTGCATACTAGTGCATACATAAAGCCTTGTTTCTAAGAATCTCAATGTTTATGACTATTTTTTCGTGTATGGGCGCTTGGAGTCATGGCCCAAATCAAGATACATCCCCGCACGCTGTGCTTGCTGAGCCTATAACCTGCGACCTCAAACCGTAGGCCCGTAGACCTTCGGGCTTTAGCGCAGAGAGGCCCCCGCAACCTACCCGCCTTCGACCATCTGCAAAGTACGAGTAGCAGCCGAAGCTCTCTACACCCAAACCCTAACCCAACGGCCCAAACTCCCAAACCCCGCAAACCCTGAACCTGATCCCTCGCTTTTGCGACCTTTGCTGCCAGACATCGTGCTCAGAGGTGCACCCTTTGAGGGGGACCTGTAAAGGGCTTTTTCAGGGTTTAGGGTTTAGGGTTTAAGGTTTGGGGTTTAGGGTTTAGGGTTTAGGGCTCACGGAGAGGACCATCCTTTGGATGGCTGCCGGCAGCTACGTCGCGAACGTGGACAACATGGGCAGGAGGTGGTGATGGTGGCTGCCTGAGAAGTCTGGACTTGCACAGGGTTTAGGGTTTAGGGTTTAGGGTTTAGGGTTTAGGGTTTAGGGTTTAGGGTTTAGGGTTTAGGGTTTAGGGTTTAGGGTTTAGGGTTTAGGGTTTACCCTAGCAAAAATTAATTTTAGTTGTTCCTTAAGGATTATAGTAACCAAAAATTGATCATATTTCCAAGCACCCCTAAGAAGTCTGGACTTGCGAAGACTGAGAGTTTGGGCCCGGGACTCTGGCTTCAGGTTCAGGGTTGGGGGGTTTCGGGTTTAGGGTTTCGGGGTTTAGGGTTTGGGGTTTGGGGTTTAGGGTTTAGGGCTTGGGATTGGGAGTTCCGGGTTTTGAAGGTTAGGCCCCAATAAGTAAAGTTATTGTAACCTGTACCCTACTATGGAGTAGACCCTCGAACAAACAAACTCTACTTTTAAGGTACAGGTAGCTTAAAAAAAGGAACACAGAACCAAAACAAGTATCAAACTATAGTACTCCAAAAGCCCAGTGTATTGCAACCACTGCCACCCCGATTTAAGTACAAGGCCCCTGCGGAAAAAGTCCCGAACCTACAGGGAAACCCTGAACAAAATCCTAGAAGCAAAGCCCCAACAGGTTCACCCCTAAACCCTGAAACCCTAAACCCTAAACCCTAAAACCCTAGACCCTAGACCCTAAACCCTAAACCCTAAACCCTAAACCCTAAACCCTAAACCCTAAACCCTAAACCCTAAACCCTAAACCCTAAACCCTAAACCCTAAACCCTACGTGAAGCCTAAAGAAAGCAAAGCTGCACCGCGCCAGGTCTTCGGGAAGGTGGCCGCTGTCGTTGGCGAAGGGTTCGGCCCCATACCTTGGGGCGCTTCGAGATTGGGGTTTAGGGGTTTAGGGATTTAGGGGTTAGGGTGTAGGGTTTAGGGTTTTAGGGTTCAGGGTTGAGGGTTTTGGGTTTAGGGTTTAGGGTTTAGGGTGTTGGGTTTTGAAATTTCTAGTTCATGGTTGGGATAGAATTGGACATTTTTTCTATTCCGTATTCAGTTCCTTAAAAATGTACAATGTTACCCCACAATGACAAAAATTTGGGTTTAGGGGTTTAGGGATTTAGGGTTTAGGGGTTTTTAGGGTGTAGGGGTTTAGGGATTTAGGGTTAAAGGGTTTAGGGGTTTGGGGGGTTAAGGGGTTTGGGGTTTGGGGTTTCGGGTTTAGGGTAGAGGGGTTTTCAAAATTTAGGGGTTTAAGGTTTAGGGTTTTAGGGAGTTTAGGGGGTTCGGGGTTCAGGATGTAGGGATTTAGGGTTTCAGGCTTAGGGGTTCAGAGCCGAGCTAGAGGTTGAGGGGTTAAAGGGCTAGGGGACAGTTTAGGGTTAGGGTTTAGGGTTTAGGGTTCAGGGTTCAGGGTTTAGGGTTTAGGGTTTAGGGTTTAGGGTTTAGGGTTTAGGGTTTAGGGTTTAGGGTTTCGGGCTTAGGGCCTAGGGTTTAGGGTTTAGGCTTTTGGGAACCGTAAGCCCGGGAGAGTAGAGGCGCTCGAGGAAGAGTTGCACCAGCTGCTCATGACCGACCTTGTCTGCGAGAGGCGTTGCTGTTGTTTAGGGTTCTCATATGGGAGTTTACGACAATAAGGAACCCCTACTATGGAACCCCCCGATTAGTAGGATTCCCTTATGATAAGGACCCAAATAAGGTACCCGAAGTCCTCAACCCTAACCCCCAAACCCAAATACTCCTTCAATCCCTAAACCCGAAAGCTACTATTGCTTAAAACACACCCCCCCCCCCACCCCAAAAAGAAATAAATAATAATAACAAAAGATGAACGCCAATCATCCCCATACCCCCGTTGTAAGGAAGAATATCTTTACTTGCTGGTGCGCTTTTAAGCCATGAGTTGGGATGTTACCCGTGATATATACTAACAGCCCTTGATAGGGATTATTCTAGGGGGTACCTACAATCCCTATTCAGGACTGTTAGCATAAGGGGGAACATCTCATGCAATGAGTAGAAATGAACTGACTAGACCCAAGAGTAACCTAGGAATAAAACGGGTGCCCTTTTTGGTTTAAAGGGGTTTATAAGGAGCCTCAAGCCTAATAAAAGGGAATAGGGGCCTCCCCCAAAGGGTCCTAAGTACCTATATGGGGGACACTTACCCAAACCATACTAGTCATCCCTATTATAGAGACCCTACTTTCTACTATGTAGGTACTTAGGACCCTTTGGCTACAAGTGGTTGAAACTTGCAAGCAAGCCCGGGCGGCCAGGGCCGCAACGCCCAGGGGTGAGATGCCAGAGCGGGCGGCCCAGAATCGCGTCGACATCGAGCCTTCCGGCTTAGGGCTTTTGAAACCAAAAACAAAACATTTTACTTCGAACGTCCCGACCTGAGGGATTTGGACTTTTGGCCGTCCTGTGCCCCCTTGGGCACTCCAGGGTCTCTGGGGTTGGGCACTCCAGGGAGTTTTTTTGGGGTTGGGCACTGCAGGGAGTCTCTCGGGTTGGGCACGCCAGGGAGTCTCTGGGGTTGGGTGCTCCAGGGAGTCTCTAGGAAAGAGTTCCGTGCGAGGAGAAGGGTTGAGTTTAAAATCTAACAACCCCACACCGAAGGTGGGGAAAAACACTAAACTTGGGATGTTCCCCCTTATACTAAGAGTCCTTCATGCTTTCCGAGTTGCAGTTCGAGAGACCGACCACCGCCGCGCGGAATCGGGCTTTTCGATAGTACCAAATCAACTCCCCCATGGGCGTGTGCTTCTCGTTGACGTCTGCGCGATGTGCCAAAAGAAGCTTGGCCGTCTCGAGTGCTCGGCCATTGCTGCGTGACATCAGTGCGACGGAGTGTAGTACTTCCGCCTTGCTGGCATCGCAGCGGTGTGAGATAAGCGCTTTAACCGTCTCCGGACAGGCGAAGGACGCGGCGCCAGCCAGTACGTAATCCGGCATGTCCGCACGATGCTCCAAGAGTATCTTGACATGCTCAGGTGTTCGGCACAGGAATATGGCAGTCAGGCCCGTTCTGGCGCAGCCATTAACATCAGCGCGGCACTCGAGGAGCACCCTGAGGACGTCAACATCCTGCCGCGACTTTGTCGCAGCCATGAGTGCTGTCTGCGTGTCGTAGTAGCCAAGCTCGCTCATGCCTTCGAGGGTGTGGTTCATGTTTGCTCGGCTTCCTGCAAGCGATCTCAACATGTTGGTGTCGCCCGAGAAGACCGCGCACATGACCTTGGTTGTCTCGAGACAAAATAGGTCTGGCTACAACATGCCGCCTTCCTGGATTCCTTGGCCTGTCCTTTGTCGTATTCACTTTCAACTGTGATCAGCAGGAAAAGAAAAATGTTCACAAGCCGCTTCGTAACTGCATTCATGCCAGTGTCATCCTGCACAGCTTCCCTTAAGCTGGCAAATTTGAAGTGTCGCAGGAACGCGTCCATTTCGCTCCACTTCCGCTGCTGTCGAAGGAGGTTGGGGCACAGGGCGGCCCAGAAGCGGTAGTGGCTCAAAGGGCCTCTGTCTTGCAAGTGACGTATCTTGCTTTCCACGGCCATCTCTCCAAGTCGGACGACCTCCGTGCGGTCGGCTTCGACGGTGAAGTCCCCATCCACGATGCCTTTGCTCCAAGTGAGGGTGCAGGGTCGGGTTTGGGGTTTGGGGTTTCGGGTGGAGGCTTCAGGTTAAGACTTCAAAAAAGAACGATAAGCCTCGAGAACTGCCCATACGAAAGCGCTACAGTATGGGTTTAGCGCTTAGGGTTTAGGGCTGGGGGATTCCTATACCCTAAACCCTAAACCCCAAACCCTAAACCCTAAACCCTAAACCCTAAAAGCCCTAAACCCTACTCCCACATAGGCCAACCGAGGCACTTCTGTTCTGCCAGTCCAACGGGAACATAAACTCGGCTTCCGTGGCAGAGTACGCAACAATCACGGAAGTGTCAGATTTGTTTGACAGTAGCCGACACCATAGCTCAGCGCGGCACCACCTTGGCCGCAGGCAGAAGATCCAAAACAGCACAGCCCCAAACCCTAAACCCTATACACCCTAAACCCTCAATCCCCAACCCTGCCTAAGCCTGAAGCCCTGAACCCTATACCCTAAACCCTACCTAAGCCCGAAGCCCTGAACCGTAAAACCCCCGAAGCCCGGGAGCAGCCCAACAGCTCCAGAAAGCCTCCCCAAGACAAAGTAACCCCTATAGAGGTACACACACAGAACAATAAACCCAGAAGCTCCTAGACTAACCTAACGAAAGAGATCTAAAACAACCCTCAACCTTGAACCCCAAAACAATAAACCCTAAACCCCTAAACCCCTAACCTTAAACCCCCTAACCCTGAGGCCTAAACCAAACCCGAAACCCGAAGCCCGAAGCCCGAAGCCCTAAACCCTTTAAACGCTAAACCCTCAGCCCCCAAGACATCTGGCCAGGACACCCTCTGGACATCCAGGTAGTATAGTTCCTTAGCACTTCAGGGTTCTGAGGGTTTAGGGTTTAGGGTTTAGGGTTCAGGGTTCAGGGTTCAGGGTTCAGGGTTCAGGGTTCAGGGTTCAGGGTTCAGGGTTCAGGGTTCAGGGTTTAGGGTTTAGGGTTTAGGGTTTAGGGTTTAGGGTTTAGGGTTTAGGGTTGAGGTTTTAGGGTTTAGGGTTTAGGGTTTAGGGTTTAGGGTTTAGGGTTTAGGGTTTAGGGTTTAGGGTTTAGGGTTTAGGGTTTAGGGTTTAGGGTTTAGGGTTTAGGGTTTAGGGTTTAGGGTTTAGGGTTTCCTTAGCACTTCAGTGTTCCGGGGTTTTAGGCTTTAAGGGCTTAACTTGGGTTTACGGGGTCGGTTTAGGGTTTAGGGTTTACCGTAGTCAGTGGAAACCACTACTTAACGGCTTCAGGGGTAGTACGTTGGCCGCCGCGCTGGGAATTCACTGGTTTTTTCTCCTTCCTCCTTCGTTCGGTTCCTGTTGAGGGTGTTTGGGAGGGGGTGGGGGTGGGGGGGGGGGTGGGGTGGGTGGGGGGGTGTTTGGGGGGGGTGTGTGTTTTTTTTTTTTTGGGGGTGGGGGGGGGGGGGGGGGGGGGGGGGGGGGGGTGTTTTTGGGTGCAGTGCACTTCTGCTGGCAGGCGTGGTACGGAGCTTCTCAGGGTGCTTAAAGCCGTTGCCCTGGGCTTTTCAGCGCAAAGGCATGGACGCTTGTGACAGCTTTTGTTCCACGTCCTTGTGCAGTATGTTGTACAAAGAGGAAAAAAACGCTGTAAATACAAGTGTTTGGGCATGGTCGTCAAATGCATGGGGTCTTGTAGCAGCTTTTCTTGTTCCACATCCTTGTGTAGTGTTGTGTAAAGAGGCAAAAACGCTGCAAACAATAGCGTGTTGGGCATCGACGCAAGATGAATGACGTTGTGACAACGTCTCCTGTTCCGCATCCTTGTGCAGCATGTTGTACAAAGAGGCGAAAACGCTGTGAATACCAGCGTTTGGGGCATGGGCGCCATACGCATGACGTTCTTATCCGCCCCCGGCCTCCCCCCCAAAGTTTTGACATAGCGCTCAGAACATGAACCCCAAACCGCAAACCCTAAACCCGCAACCCTAAACCCTAAACCCTAAACCCTAAACCCCAAACCCTAAACCCTAAAAGCTCAAAGCGTTGCCATTGGGCCCCAAAGAATCACACGCTGCGCCGAGTCTTTGTGGGTCAGCTCTGGAACTAGCGCCAGGAAGAGATCACAGAGCTCTACCTTGTTTTGGGGTTCAGGGTTTAGGGTTTAGTTTAGGGTTTAGGGTTTAGGGTTTAGGGTTTAGGGTTTAGGGTTTAGGGTTTAGGGTTTAGGGTTTAGGGTTTAGGGTTTAGGGTTTAGGGTTTAGGGGTTAGGGGTTAGGGTTTAGGGTTTAGGGTTTAGGGTTTAGGGTTTAGGGCTTAAGGTTTAGGGTTTAGGGTTTAGGGTTTAGGGTGTAGGGTGTAGGGTTTAGGGTTTAGGGTTGTCTTTGGGGTCTACGGTCTAGGGTTTCGGGTACTTTGTTTTGGGGCTCAGGGGGGATAGGAGTAGTTTCTCTAGATTCGGGTCCCTTGATAATCGGGTTAAGGGTTTCGGGCTGAGGGTTTAAGGCTCAGGAAAGAAAAGTCGAAGCATTTCTGGCGCATTTTCAGGGCGCATATGCTGGAATGCTCTGCACCGCCAACGCCGCATCTGTCTTCGTGGTCTCCTCATTGACACCAGGCGTCCGCGCTGTGATCTGTGGGATCGCGAACCAGTCGAAGAACAGGAACGCATCGGCGATCCGCTTCTGAGTGTCCGACGCCAAGCTTATCTCGTCGTAGGAGTGAGCCACGATGTTTTCCGTAATCTGCACAGTCCCGTCAATCACACCAGCAAGCGCCTTCTGAAGAACCCTCATCTGTGCACCCTGAGGGTCCGGATGCACGGAACTGAGCCACTGGTGCGAGACAAAGATCACGAACATGCCCGGGTAGTATTGGTGCAGCACGCCCTTCTCCTGCAGCACGTTGTGGGGCTCCGGCGCGCCGCGCATCTGCATGAAATCGGACACCTGCCCATAGATCAACCCTGAGGCTTCAATGCAGGGATCTCCCCGCAAAGGACCGTCACCACTTGGGACGCTCCCCCTTATACTACCAGTCCTTCATAATAGGGATTATCATAGGGGGGGTTAGGGGGGGGGGGGGGGTACTCGAATTCCTATTAAGGACTGTTAGTATAGTTAAGGAGAACATCCCAACGATCCTGCCCAGATATCGACCCTGCTGCCATCTTACTTTAGAATGGCTTTCGTCGCTGCATTGACGTGATCAAGTCAAGAAGCCCAGGCTGCAAGATAAAAGCGTCTGAGGTTCTTAACGTCAGCGCCTCCATAAATGGAATATATATATATATATTTTTTATTATTTTTTCTTTTTTTTTGGGGGGGGGGGGGGTGGTTCTTGTAGCACATTTATATAGGGACCATGAGGGATACTGTTATATTGCGAGCCCGAAGGTTTTGAGAGGGTGGGGTCCAGTCACGCCTTGACGGCCCACAAGGGGAAGTGGCAGGCGTGCACAGTGGACGCCGCACAACCGATCGGTTGCTCATCCGGCTTGCACAGGGAGGCTCCCATGGCTTTACAGTTTCAAGCCTCTGGGATGTCAGGTAGCAATATATCTATACATAGATGTATCTGTCTATCTATCTATCTATATATATATATGCGTATATACGGGTATACATATACAGGTATACATGAACTGGTCTTAGACGTGCGTTGCTGGGCTATGTATATATGTATGTATATATATATATATATGCATATATATATATATATATGTGTGTATATATATATATATATGTATTGAAAGAAAATAGTATGTACATCTAAATCTTTACGTAACTCATGTAAAGTTACATTCATCTTTGTACTTACTCACACGTGCAGATATTACGTTACCCAGTTTCCTAGGATTCAACTGAGTGCCCCGCGCTTTTGCTTAAAGGGGTTGATAAGGGAGCCTAACCCCCCCCCCCCCCCCCCCCCCCACACGCTCCCAAACAAAACTAAACTAAAGGAATAAGGGCATACTCGGGGTCTAGAAACCCTAAAACTTGAACCCTGATCTGGGCATCCTCGGACATGTAGTTGTTAACAGTTAGGGTTTAGGTTAGGTGTTTAGGGTTTAGGGTTTAGGGTTTCGGGTTTAGGGTTTAGGGTTTAGGGTTTGCGTTTTTTTAGGGTTTAGGGTTTAGGGTTTAGGGTTTAGGGGTTACCCTTGGCCTCCCTTCAACTGTCCTATACTAGCTGCGCAGGCACCTAGGGCTGAGGGCCGCGCAGAGGCCTGGGGATTCTAAGGGTGGCTCGAGGGTTTAGGGTTTAGGGTTTAGGGTTTAGGGTTTAGGGTTTAGGGTTTAGGGTTTAGGGTTTTTAGGGGGTTTAGGGTTTAGGGTTTAGGGTTTAGGGTTTAGGGTTTAGGGTTTAGGGTTTAGGGTTTAGGGTTTAGGGTTTAGGGTTTAGGGTTTAGGGTTTAGGGTTTAGGGTTTAGGGTTTAGGGTTTAAGGTTTAGGGGGTTTAGGGGGTTTAGGGGGTTTAGGGTTTAGGGTTTAGGGTTTAGGGTTTAGGGTTTAGGGTTTAGGGTTTAGGGTTTAGGGTTTAGGGTTTAGGGTTTAGGGTTTAGGGTTTAGGGTTTAGGGTTCAGTCTAAGCCCCAAGTCGTCTCGAACCTCGTGGTCACTTCTCTAAATGTTGGTCCCATTTGAGGTTCCCCTTCCAAGTGGGCCCTAATATGTAGGGTAGACAAAAAGGAATCTAATTTTGAGAGCTGAGCCTCATAGCCCTGCGTCTGATGTAGGTAGGGGGGAGTTGTAAGTTCAAAATGTGGGAGTGTACGAAAATCAGGGACCCTTAATATAGACCTCAAATAGCAGGATTCGGAGGCCAACAAGGTACTCTCAATTTCGGAAAGCCCCGCATCTCTTTCAGCGCTCTGCAGGTCTATTTCGGGCCAACAGACAATAACAGACTTGCCCATCAACCCCAGTGAGAAATCCTAGAAAAGCCCTACACTCAAGTCAACACAGCACTATAGGGCCTTTCATGCTCCCTACTACTCCCTGATGCTCCCTGCTCTTTCCTAGGTTCCCTGTGTACCTACCCCCCTCCCCTAAGAACCCCAAACCCTAAACCCCAAACCCCAAACCCTAAACCCTAAACCCAAAACCCCAAAACCCCAAACCCTAAACCCTAAAGCCCAAACCCTAAACCCTGCAACAGTAAGTCGGTGGCCGAAGATGATGGTGTGGATCCGCGCCGACGTGCGCTTCAGCCGCCGCTCCTGCGAAACCGCGAGTTGGTTTAGGGTTCAGGGTTTAGGGTTTAGGGCTTTGAGGTTTGTAAAAAGCTAGAACCGAACCAAAACACCAAAAGCCCAAAACCCTAAACCCTAAACCGTGGGTTCTGGGATCTGCGGGAATCTTTCTGGAGGTTTAGGGTCTAGTTCCCTGCTGGCACTTCGGGGAGGAGGGTGCAGAAGTTGAAGGATTTGGGAGAATTCCGGGGTGTGCCGAGGGGGTCTTGGGCTCAATTCGGAGGAAGCCCCTAGGCCCTAAATCCCAAAACCCGACGGCCCAAACCCCCTAACCCTAAAGCCCCTAAAGCCCCTAAAACCCCTAAACGTCCCTAGCCCCCACAGCCTCTAAAGCCCCAAGTCCTAGACCCTACCTACGACCCGACGATCCTCAGAGGCTTACTCGGGATTTGGGGATGACCACTATTTGCTCCAAAACATCAAAAATCCTTAGAAGGGTAATACAGTGATGATTTAAGCAAATAGAAACCCAGGGATATCTTAAATGGTTTAAGCTTTAGGGCCTTCGAGGTATCTTTCCCCTTATACGGGTATTGCCCCAAAACGGAGCTCGCCGTGAAACTCTCCTGGGTCAGGGCAGGCAAGTCCATCGCATCCGTCATCCTCTTGAACAACTTCACATCAACCAACCCTAAACCCTGGATCCCAAAACCCTAAACCCTATATAAACCCCAAACCCTAAACCCCAAACCCGAAACCCTAAACAGGTCAGGGTCTGCCTCTTGGCATGGGCCGCTGCCATGGAGCCGCGAACTAAACCCTA